TGCAGAGCTGAGCACAGGCCCTGACAGCTTGGAGAGCCTCCAGCTGCACAGGCAATGCCAGGGAATGCTGCTTGGCCCCACCAGGCACACACAGGGCCCTCTCCTGAGCTGTCTGTGGACAGACAGATGTCTGTCCTGCTGCTCCCAGCAGTCACACACCACAGCCAGCAGTCCTGCTGAGATTTTCCTGACCTATGGGGTTTTGCTCTGAATAACCCAAGTGAAATGTGTGGGGTGTGGACGCCTCACCTGTGTGCCCTGAAATTACCTGCAGAGCTGGGGACAGTGGCCATGTCCTTGTGTGGACAGGGACCCCTGAGCAGAGCTTATCTCAGAGCTGCTGGGGTGAGATTGCAGCCACAGGAGGTCTTTGCATCCTTCTCACAGGAGCCCCCACTCTGAGGGCATGTCCTTCTCCCCATGAGCAAAGGGGTTAGGGTTAGGGTGAGGAGGTGTTCCCACTAATGAAGCGTTCCAGGTGGGATCCTGCTTGAAACCAGATTAATTAATGAGCCCTGTGTTAACAAGGACTGCATGGTCTATGGCAGTGTAGTCAGAGGAGCTTTCTAGGATCTCCCTTATGTGCAGGTTCTGGAGGCACAGAGCAGGAGATTTCACAGTTGCACTTTTTATTGAAGTCCTGTGTTTGCTTTGGGCTGAGATGACCTGGATTAAGGGCAATATTTTGTTAAAACACTGATTGAAATTCTGCAGTTACAGGGAGAGGATGGCTGCCCTTTTCTGTGCAGAGAGGGTAAGCACACAGTCCTCAGGGGAATCTGAGCTGCAGCATTTAGTGAGAAAAGGGCAGGAATGAGACTGACAGCTCTGGAGTGCTCTGCTAAACAGCTTCCCTGCTTTCACCCTTCATTTCCTTGCCTAACCATAACCAGGAGGCTCACCAGTAAAGAAACCTTAAACACCTGCCCTCCATGTGCCCCTGGCCCCAGCACAGGGGCTGGGGAGACAGGCAGATAAATTTCCATTGCTAAAATTGAAGACTGAAATCCCTTGGAGAGACGTGAATTTCCATACCCAAGTTCCTTTCCTTCTCCACTTTCCTTCCCCACAGGTGGCGTTTTCACTGTTCCTTCTCTGATTTTCTCATTCTGTGTTTCCCCCAGGCTTCCCCTGCACACTCAATTCTTACCTCATTGTGTCTCTGCAGGACACGAGGGCAATCACAAGCAAAGGAAAACACACATTTTGCAGCACATTATTGAAGTGGATGTGCTTGCCAGGAGGCAGAAATCTGCTGTTCTTCTGCCTTCCACACTCACCTTCCCAACCTGTCAGGTCACTCACAGGGGCTTTCAGAAAGCAGCTGAAAAGCTGCACAGAGATTGTTTGGGGCTGCAGGGTGCCTGTGCAGGGAGTGCCACCATCACCCTCAGTGGGCAAAACAGCCACCAGACTCTGGGGAACTGGGAACATCATTAATGAGAGCAAACCATCTCATCTAGGACCAAACTGTGAGCAACATCCACCACAAAACAAAACAAAACAAAAAAGTCCTTATTCTTTTTATTGGCAGCAGATGTTCATTTCTAAGGGGAAACAAATCCAGTTCCAATGCCAGAGCTGTGCTGGAGGCAAAAAACTCTGTCTTTGGGGACAACCTGATGCCAATAATTATTATTATCCTTCAAAACTACATTATCATCCCAAATGGAATTGCTATATTCCTGCCCTGAGCCCTGGTGGTAAATGAGGTTTTTCAGCCTGGCCAGGCTGTTTCTCCATGACAATTAATGGGAGCACTCAAAGCCTGGGTGCTGGGCTGGTTTGCCTTCCAATGCAGCAGCAATAGGGATGGAATTTTAGCAAAAGAATAAAAGTGTTTTTACAACCCCTTAAATACCTCTTCACACTGCCCCTCATTCTCCTCAGAGCTGGCCTGAAGGAATCACAGAATTACAAATAAATACCCCAATCAAGTACAATAACAACAGAGCCAATGCCCATCATTCCTCACCTCCTACAGTTCCTGTTCACATGTCAGAGCAGGGAGCACACAATGCCCCAGGTCTGTGCCCTGGCCACCTCCAAGGTCACACAAGGCAGACACGACCCCAGGCTGGGGCTCCCATCCTGCCCCAGCCCCAGGACATCCCCAGTGGGAGCAGGTGGGCTGGGAGCTGCTCTGCTCCATGCTCTCATCCTGGTCCTGTCCAGAGGTTCCTCCCAAAGATCTGCCCCCCACCCTCTGCCCTGGGCACCAACAGGGCTGTGCCCCTGCCCTGTGCCACCTGTGCCATGGAAAGGCATTAGAAATGGCACCTGGGCATGCAGAGAGTGTGTGTGGACACAAACACATCAGTACAGACAGAAATGGAATGGGGGAAATGCTCCTGTGCCCACTTTGTACAGGGAGGAGAGCAGAGAACGGGTTAGCAATGCTCAACACTGCAAACAGGAAAATGGACCCTTGTCCTTCCTTCCCCCTCAATCCCTCCTTCCTTCACAGTGACCAGGAGAAACAAAGGCAAAACAAACAATCTGACAACTTGGCTTCACAAAGAAGCTGAGAATTAGTCAAGTGGTGAAGATGTTCCCATTTATAGCTGAAATGCCTGAACATGTAGGTAAATATTCATGGTCTTTATTAGCTCTGCTAATCATAACAGTTCTCCTGAAGAATGAATGTCCCTACATCCTGCCCTGCAAGCTGTGCAAGACAGCAAAATACTTATATTCTCCTGAATATTACTAATAATAATTATATTCTCCTGAATGGAAGGCAAAGGAAGACAAGTTAGTGCAATTCTGTTAAATAGAACACAGAGTGTGTCAAATTTAATAATGGGAGAAAAATTCATATCCTGCCATAGAAACATGAAAATAAAGAGGAAAGGGACACTGCAATAAAGACTTTATTTGGAGTGCAGCCATTGCCATCTCCATGAGGGAACAGTCAGCATCAGTCACTGTTCCTCAGCACGAGCAACTGGTGGGTTTAATTCCAGAACAGGGTGGGAAATGGAGACAAACACTTAAATAACTGAACTGTGGAGTTCAGGAATGACAATGTACTGTGAAAGTAAAACTGTAAAGCTAAAAACCAAAACTCAATTCCTTTCCAGCCTTTAGGAGAGACTTGGTTTATTAACCTGAATGTGAAAGGTCTGAGCAGTGTATCACAGTTCAGAAGCAAATGAAACTGTCCAAAACAGCCCAGAGCCACCCAGCCCACTGCAACTCCCCACTGATGGAACTGTGGTAAATCCATCGTGGAAGTGATCCAGGCACTCCTTGTGCTCTGAATTCTGCCATGTTTGGCATGTATCACCAGTAAAAGGTCAAAATAAGCTGTGGAAGGAGCAGAAAGCTGCAAAATGTTAAGGCCATTGATTAATTGATTGCTTAATTCCTGTGGAAAACTGCCTGAAGCAGGATGTGGCTGCAAAAAAACACTGTCTGCCTCAAAAATAGGAACAAAATCTGCTGCTCTGAAACTTGCTGCCATCATTTTTGTTAGGTGTCATAAATTATATCCCAACAGTACACACAGTCTGGGCACCTGGAATCACACTGATGGTGGTGTTCAGCTTGGCTCCAAGTGTGGGCTTGAAATGGAATTGACTTCTGCAGTGCTGTAGGAGCAGCAAGAAATGGTCAAAATGAGGGTTTGAAAATCCCTGTTGTTGCTGTCAGCTATGCCAACTGCAGGGTGGAAATTTTGGAAACAGGAGACCACCAAGGTCCCACAGCCTGCAGGACACAGCATGGATGGGATGCAGATGTATGCAATGCAAGCATGTGGGAATGATATAGAGGATATAAACCTTTATATGCTCTGAAGCCCCATTAATTGTGAAGTAATGAGCCGGAATTCCATTAATGGGGCCACTCCCTGTACTTGCCCCTTACAGTGCCCCATAAAGCAATTGGTTTTGTCTCCAGCAGATGCATTAGATGCTCCATTCATCTGATTTTATAAAGCAATTAGTCTGGTCTCATCTGCCAAGGAGACTTTTATGGGCCTGCCATGGAGAAGTCTCTGCAAGTGACAAACTATTGTGTTGTACAAGCAGACCTGGTTCCTGCAGAGCTCAACCTGTGGCTTTGGGGGTGTTTATTACTATTTTTGCCCTCTCACATCTGGCTAAGTGACAGCTGCTCGCCACTTCTACAATTTGGCACTACTGAACTGAGCAGCATCAGCCAGCGTGGGCTGCTGGGGGAGTGAAACATCAATCAAGGACCAAGTGCATTAATTCAGCCCTTATTACCAGGGCCAACAACAAAACACCAGCATGGGGAGCGGGGCAAGAGGTGCTTTTGATCTGCTCCATGTGAGCTCCCGAGGGAGGGCTGGCTCCAGCACAGCCCCAGGCACAGCGCCCACACCTCTGCCTGCCCTGGCTGGTGTCTCCCAGCACTGCTCAGAGAAGCCCTGGGTTCCTGCTGCTGGCCCCCTGCCCCATCCCATCAGGGACCCCAAGGAACATCAGCCCTGCTGCAGTGCAGAAACCCAGCATCTGCAGCACATCTGGGCAAGGGGACACCTCCAATGTACCTGCTCAGCTCAGACTGGGCTGAGCCAAGCTCTGGGAGTGCTCTGGTATCACCTCAGGGAAGCAGTTTGGGAGCAGACCTGGAACTGGGGTGGGAATCACTGCTGAGCACTGGTGGGACAGGGCAGCCTGTGAAATGCCATCAGTCTGCAAACCAAGCACTGACTGCAGCCCGTGCCTGGTGCTAAACCTGTCCTCACTTGCTGCTACTCCTGCCTGGGCTCCTCCAAAGCCTGGGAGATCAGACACGTTCCTTTGCCCACCGCAGAGCAGGGGTGGGGAGGGAGGAGCAGTGGGGGAGAGCAGGCGGGGTCTGTGGGGGCAGGTGAGTCCTTTGGGGGGCAGGTGGGCTCTGTGGGGGCAGGTGAATCCTTTGGGGGGCAGGTGAGTCCTTTGGGGGGCAGGTGGGCTCTGTGGGGGCAGGTGAATCCTTTGGGGGGCAGGTGAGTCCTTTGGGGGGCAGGTGGGCTCTGTGAGGGCAGGTGGCATCCTTGGGGGCCAGGCAGGCTGTCTCCACAGTCAGTGAGAGAGCAGAGCTGTGTGTCCTGCTCCAGGGAGAGCCTTTGTTGCTGCCTGGGGCACAGGGCGGCTGCACATCCTCTCCCGCACGAGAATTCGGGGTGTGCCCTCACATCCAGGCTCCCAGGTAAGGGCCAGACTCCTTCCTCTTCCTCCCCTGCTCTGTGATTGACCTAAGATGCTGAGTTATGATGGTTTGACTCTGACCCACCTACACCCCAACATCCAGGGCTCAAGCTGGATTTAACTGAGGACATTCCCCCTTATCCCAGGCGTGCTTTGGCCAGCCCCTCCGTGCTGTTTTCCACTTGAAGAGCTAAGTGATGATAATTGTATTCTGTTTCTCCTTCCTGAGCTAATTTTCTGACTCATTGTGGGGGTTTTTCTGCTAGCTTTTTGTTAATCTAGTTGGCATGTTGTGGTTTCTTTGTTCATTATGTGGTGGGGCTATATAAGAGGATTTGTCTCTGGAATTCAGGTATCCCCTGCGCTGCGCTCCCTGTTATCGTCTTCATCAGCAACTCTGCTGAAGGCACTCTGCTGCATTTGGCATGAGCTAACCTTAATAAATTCGGGCTGTTAATCACTCAGACATGTCTCGCTGGATCTTTGCACGCTGATTTCTGTGTGCTCAAATAGTTTCCCCCGGAGTAGACTTGTGGTGACTCAGTGTTTCAGTCATTTGCCCTCCAAACTCTCCCTCGGTTCTGCCTCCCGGGGGGCTTCAATAGGGAGGGGTCTCCTGATGGCAGAGGGTTCTCCTGGCACCCTGCACTCCTCTGGGGTCCCAGGCTGGTGTGCAGGGAGCAAAGAGCTCTGGTGGTGCTGCCCCAGCAGCCCTGTCTGGCCAGAGCCGAGCACAGCCTTGCTCCTGTCCCTGGGAGCTCTCCTGGGATCCCAGCACTGCTCAGGATGACACTTCCACAGGTGCCCGGCGGGATGGAGACAGATTGAGGAATGTTTATAAGGAATGTTTAGGCAGCTATTTATGTGCTGAGCTAACTCAGACCCAGCAGAAGCCGAGTTTCAGAGATTCCCTTTTCCAGAGCCTGGCTTGGAGTCCAGCAGAGATGCAGCCTCCTGCCCTCCAGGCACTGATCAAACAACACTCAAGTTATACTTTTTTATATATATATATTGTGCATTCTGTGTTTGCCAGAGAGCTGCTGGGAGTCAGGGCATCCTCGAGTGATACAGGAATCTTGAGGCACTGGATGAAGTGTGTGAAGCTCTGAAACTCACTCAGGCATTGATAATTATCAGTCCAGATAGCTGAGCCATTACAGGGATTCGATACAGTCAGCTCTTGCATCCTGCCCATTTAGGGGAGAAAAATTCAGCAACGAGGAGATGCTGCGATCGACAGATCCAAGGAAAACCAGCCAGGTTATTTCTGACAGCAAGAGATAGATAACTACAGGGATTAGCAGAAGATCCAGGGAGTGTGGAGAGACCCCTTCTTTGGAGTAAGGGCTTGGACTCCTCCAGAGAAAGGTTATTCAGCCATTTAAAGAAAGAAAGGAAGGAAAACAAACCTAATAAATATTAAAGACAATACATGGCAGTTTGACAGCTGCTCACCAAAAGCTAGTGAGGAACAGTAAAAAAACAAATTATAGCTTCTTTAACTAATTAAATGAGGTGATGCTTATTAATTAGAGATTATCTTAACACTTTGAGAAACTCACAGTGATGTTTTTTGACTGAAAACAAACCCTTCTGTACACTGAGGAAGCACAGCGCTGGCAACCAGCACAGACAGCTTTGAATTCCCATGTTCAATAATGGTGAGCTCCAAGCAAAGTGCCTCAGGGACAGAGTATTCACCCACTCCTGCTGCCACTCCTCATATTCTGCTCTTTTCTTCTGGTGCAGGCACTGCAGTGCCCACCCAAGGTGCCCTGCTGGGGTCAAGTGAAGCCTGAAGCAAGGATCCCCCTCCTTTCTGTCCTTTTCCTTTCCACTGCAAAAATGGAAAATAACAAAAAAAAAACCCACCCATAAAAATCAGTCCTTAGTTTCCCTTCTTTGGTCTGGCTTATTCTCCCCTGGGAAGGTGCTGGGAGTTCTTATTCCCTCAAGCCACCCAGGCCCCCACTGCCTCTCTGGGCTGAGGATCTGTCTGGGTATCACCAGGGCAGACCAGGAACCCCCCAGCTGACACAGCTGCCCTTGGGCTACTGAAATCCATCACCTGCTTTGCACCAACCAGACAGCCCCAGAGTCCTTGGTGGCTCCTCACAGGACATCCCTTCCAGCCCTTTCTTGCCCTCCTGTTGTTTAAATGAGACTTTTACAGCAACTAGCAACAATGCAGAATGATTCCATTCTTCAGTGAGTGAATGCCACAGCCCTGATGAAATATTTTGTGGCCTTTTACAAAGTGCCAGTGTAGCTCTCTTTACTGAATTAATGTATTTATAATAAAAACATCTTCTCAGTGGACTGCATTAATCTGTCATTGTGCCATCTGAGCCTGTGGGCATGGCTCCTGGGGTGCCTCCCTGCTCCCCTTGTCTGGGGCTGGCTTCCAGCTGCTGTGGGTGGGACAGGGACAGGGCAGGAGGAGCAGCAGAATCTGAGAGCAAAATCGCTGTCAACAATCCTTACCTCTGCTGGAGGCTTTGCTATACACTAACTGGTGAGGCTCCCTGTGGATGGAGTTCATCTGCATGTCCAAGTCCTTCCTTCAAACAGCTGTCATCATGGATTTGTTCCTGCTGCTGTGCAGAGCCCCACGTTATGGCACATGTTGCAGCCAGTGACAGAAACCTGGGTCCACTTCCTCTGATAGCAATGAATGGGAAACCCTGAAAGCAGATCACGATGTCTGAGAAGCTCCATGTCCCCTGTACATATTCCTGCCCCCTGGGCCAGCTGCAGCGTGGGTTTTACTGGTGCTGGAGAGCCTGTGTGCCCACCATGCCAAGCACAGGAGGGGCTATAGTAAGACAAGCCAAAAAATCAGCAGTAAAACAACAGAGCAGCCATGCTGGCTCCTGAGGAGAGCCTGGGAGATGCCCTTTGGTGCCTCCCACACCAGGTGACAGATCCAAGGATCCCTCAGCTCACAGGTCCGTGCTGGCCATCGGGAGGTTCCTGGCGGAGCAGCTGGCCTGGGAGGCCGGTCCCTTCCTGCACCTGGCCTGCTCCAGCCACGCCTCACGGCAGGACAGGGCCCTGGGGGGCAGCGCCTGCTCCCGGGGCTGGGGCACCCTGTGGCAGATGCCGAGCAGGGAGCGCAGCCCCGCGCGGAAGCTCTCGTTCAGCCAGCAGTAGATGAAGGGGTTGTAGCAGGTGCTGCTCATGGCGAACCAGTGCAGTGCAAAATAGAGCGAGTTCTTGGTCCTGATGCCCAGGCTGGAGATCAGCACCACGTAGCAGTTCAGGGGGAACCAGCAGACTGCAAAGACCACCACCACCAGCATCAGCATCTTGATGCTCTTCTTCTTGTTCCTGTGGTGGGTGACGTACTGCTGCGTGGTGACGTCCCCGATGGCGTTGCGCAGCCACAGCTTCTTGGCCAGGCGCAGGTAGGTGACGGTGATGATCAGCAGGGGCAGGAGGTAAAGAAGGAGGAAGGTAGACAGGTCCAGATACTTCCAGACCAACTCTGCAGGCTCGGGGAAGTCAGGGAGGCACAGACTCCGGACGGTGGCTTCCCTTGAAAACAGGAAATACAGATATGGCATGTGGCCATTGCTGTCCTGTGGGTGCTGCTGGCTCGGCAAACCACACTGCCCACAGCCACCTGCTCAGAGGTGTAGTGGGGACAGAGGGAGGACACAGAGCCACAGCTCTGGCATGTCTCTCTCAGGTGGACCTGCAGCCCCTGCCCTCCATGGCAGCACCCACCCTGCTGTGTCCCCCAGCACCAGGACCCCTTGCCCTGGCACAGCCCCCAGCACAGGATCCCTCAGCCACAGCCACTGCAGCAGCTCTGAGCCAAAGCTGCTCTGGAGGGGAGGGAAGGGCTGAAGGCTGTGAGAAAGCCTCAAAGGCATGACAAACCCACCTCACTTCCCTTCCCTACCCACCATTCCCTTGCCATCAGCTCCTACAACCTTCCTGCTACCTCTTAAAACTGGTGTGATGATTACTCACTTGGCTCCAGTTGAACCACTGACAATGACCTAACAAAAGAAAGTGTAATCATACACAACAGCTCATTTTAACAACCTCTCACACCTGTCCCATCCCCTCCAGCCCCAGGATCTGGGTGTGTTCCCACTGCCTGGCCTGCAGTGGCTCTCATCCCATCACCCTTCACTGCACTGCATGTGTCCCCTCCACACCCTGCAGCTGGTGTAATGGAATTTATTTCCAGTGGATGCTTTCTCCTTTTCTTTCTTTTCCCCTCTCTTTTTTTTTCTCTTATTCCATTTTACTCTTCTCTCTTCATCCCTCATCCTCAGTTCTCCTCTATTCAGCACAGATTTTAGCTCCCATCAAGCTGTACTATTCACTGCAGTATTGATTAATATCTTTAATATCCTGTTTTCAACTGCTGGAGCTGCCTTTTGTGCCACAAATAGGAGACTGCTGAGAACAGGCAGCTGGAGCAGGGGATGAGGTCAGAGCAGTGACAATGGGTCCACCGAGTACGGAGGACCTGGAGATGCCACTCGAGATGGGAACTGACGCAGAAGGGAGAATCATCTTTTCTGAACTGCAGTCTTTGCTTCTCCTCCCCTGGATCTGGGGGACCTCACCACAGGGGATGTCAGAGGGGATCTGACAGAACAGTGTTTTGGTGAATCCTGACATGACCAGGGACTCAGTGCAGCCAGAGATGGATGTTGCTGGAGCCCCTGTTTCCCATCCCAGAACCACTCACTGGTAGCCATCCCAGGAGCCCTGACCCTGCAGGAGCTATTACAAGCAATATTGCAACTGTGATTTTTTTTTTCAATGGAAAGCAGGGACAGAAATAGCATGTCCTGGAAGTCCTTATATTGCTGAGCTGCCTCGTGCCAGCACAGGGCTCGGTTTCCTCTGGCCATGCCAAAGGATGAGCAGAGACAGGTGCCCCGAAACAGATCGTAGGGTTCCTTCATTCATGAGCAATTCGTTCCCTAATCCCCAAGCACAGCTGCAGAGCGATGCAAGCACAGAGTAACCCTGCCCTGTGTTTACAGTCTGCACAGTTATGGGTATGATATCCCCTGGCTATGTCAGCCACATCAGGCACAAGCACAGGCAGGGGAGGGCTGTGAAGCCCCCATCCCACTTGCAGCCCCTCAGACACCAAAAGCAGTGACAGCCCAGGCAGGCACTCACACCCTCCTGCCTCACCAACAGGAGGGATCTGGCTGGGCTGCAGGAAATTAGATTTGTCCTCTATACAGAAGGTCAATGTCTACAATAGAAATCTCATTCCTGCTGCCTGTCAGTGTCTCCTTGCCCCACTCCCTGGGATGCTGATCTCAGCCTGAAAATACAGGTCATGGTAAGATTATCCCCTTGGCCTCAAGGCTGGCATTCCTGCGAAGGGCAGCACCAGCAGCGTGACACCTGCCACAGAAATCCCACTTGGGTACTGTTACAGACTGTTTTCTAGACAAGAGAGGTCACAGCAATGCCACAGGCTGCTGGGGACAGGAGGGACAGAACAGGTTGGGTACCACAGAGGAAAGGACTGCAAGGGAAAAGAACTCAGAGTTTGGGGTTTGTAGTTCTCCCTGGCAGAGAGTGACAGCAGAGACAAGTGCCATTGCTGGGCCTTTTGTGAGGAGATAAGTTTCTGCTTTGAATTTTTTTTTCTTTTTCTTTCTTTCCCTCTACATTAGAACCTTCTCTTTTTTTTTTTTTTTTTCTGGTATTTCAGTACTTATATTGATGTAAAATGTCACTTCATCTGCAGTCATTGTGTTCAGCCAAGCCAAGAGTTCCCTTTCCTGAGGAGAGGCACCATGGCACACCAGGACAGCTCAGGTTCCTGACAAAGCACTGGTCCCTCACCTGTCCCACCCTGGTCCCCCACAGCCCTGCTTCATGAAGAATATCTGTTCTCTATGTTTTTCTGTTAGTGTAACACTGGACAGAGGAACCTCAAGCTTCAGGGAAGGCTGGTCCTGCTTTGTAAATCCACATGGATGAAATACCGGGAAGTCACAACCTGAGACTCAGGGTAGGAAATCCTGGGGAAGAGGGATCAGTAAACCAGAGTGGTCCCCTGCTCCTGCTCCCTGCAGAGCCTTGGTGATGTCAGCACAGGTATTCCCAACAGGAAGTTTATTTTCTTTCTTTTTCAAACTGCAGTTTGATACTCTCTCTCCTCCCTGCCTGGGTGAGTTGGATGGGCTTGGTCTGAGGAGCTGAGCAGGCAAAAGGAGGGAAGAGGAAAGTCCCTCAGGAGAAAGTTACCTTCTCAGGACAGAGCCTCTCCTGGCCAGGCCATGGCACTGGAGGAGGTGTGTGGTGCCAACAGCTGTGCCCCAGCCAGGCTGTGCCTGGGACTGCCCCAGAGCCTCATCTGGGCACACAGGAGGTGGTGAGAGCAAGCCCTGGACAGCAGGCCAGGCAGAGAGCAGGCCAGGCAGCTCTTCCCCAGCCCCAGCCTCTGCTGGGAGAAGGGGGATGTCACCCATACACCAACTCCCTCATCCCACATCGCCCTGGGACACTCAGGTGCCCTCCCTGCTGAGCAAGGCACTGCACAAGGGCTGCCAGACCTCCACACGCTCCCTGGGAAGGGGAGATCACTCACCTGTAGTTATACTGGAAAAGCTTTTGATAGACAGCATGGGGCAGGGAGAAACAGGTTGCCATCAGCCAGATGACAGAGATGCTCAGAGCTCCCTTTGTCAGGGACATCCTCTGCTTCAGTGGGTTCAGGATGACCTGCAACAGAGACTCTGTCGTGACTCCTCTCCCACAGGAAGCAAAAGCCCTGACAGCCCACAAGAGGAGTGGGCAGATTGTGACATAACCTAACACAGCTAATGATAGGAAAATGACAGCCATGATTAGGAAAATGTCCTGTTCATTAGAGTGACCTGGAAAATGGGAAATGTTGAACTTCTCAGTCTGCTCAGAAGAGCTTTCAAACTTTATCTCCTCAGTCTTGTTATGCAAGAACTGTTTTCCTTAAGCTGGAGGTTACATTAGGTCAAAAAAAAAAAAAAAAAAGGAAGAGATCTACCCAAGTGTCTTCACTCAAGGGTATGTTTTTTATTCCATATGAACTATATAAGAAATGTCTCTTGTTCCAGCTGGGCCTGTGAAGCTGAGCTTTCCTCCCCTCTGCTGAGGCAGAAATTCACCTTTCATGAGATTTTCTTTGTTAGACCTTTAAACTGATAAAACCTGATAGTCTGGAAGTTACTATTTGCCAATAGCACATGAAAGGGGAGCGATTGCAGGCGACAAGCACATGGCCTGGGTTGTCCTTGCTGCCCTGCACTGGACACACAGCCAGCATTTGTCAAGGCCAGGGACAGAAAAACTTATCATAGCTCCAGTCTCCTCCCAGAGCCTTGGAGAAGGGGCAGGCAGTGTCACCTGGTGCCTGTCGAGGGCGATGGCCGTCAGGGTCAGCGTGGACACGTGCAGGGAGCAGTACTGCACAAAGCGGCTGATGTGGCACATGGCCTTCCCAAAGATCCACGTGCTGTTCACAAAGCGGACCTGGGGGGAAACAACAGCTCATCAGCCAGGAAATGTGCTGAAAACAAATCCATGGGGGTCTGGTTTGTTTTCCTACAAGTCCTATAGCTGGAACCTGAGCTGGCTCAGGGGTGCTGGCTGGTTGGGCAGCTTCGCCTGGAACTTATAGAAAGATCAGCTATGCTGGTCTCTGAAACACCTTTACAGAAGAGTTTATAGGGTCAAACCCCGCAGATTATGAAGTGGTGACGCCACAGCCCTCCTGGCCTGTTCTACAGATATTGTGAACAGTGGTAAAAACTTTTTATTACGCTAACAACTATATTTGGAAATAGTGGACCAAGGTTTGATATCAACCCCACTGTCAGATTTGGAATGCTTTCATTGAAGCCTTTATCCAGCTGGCATCTCTGAAATGCTTGACTATTTTCTTCCAGTCACCCAGTATGACTGGCATTCAGACTGTTCTGACCCACTAAGGGACTCTCTAGTGCTCTGCTGCATGAACATTAAAAACACAGGAACTTGTTCTCATTCCCCAAGAAGGTCTTGCTGGGGTTTGGTAACACACTGTGTGATACACTTTGGAGTTTCTAGGAGTTACAGAGTCTAACAGAGCAACAGAGAGCCCACAGGTTGCTGAACAGTGTTTTGCTTGCCTGGCAGAGTTATCAGTTAGGCTTGGTGGTGTTGGGCTCCCACCTCAGCCCTAGGAGAGAGGGCATGGAAAGCCCATGACCACCAGGCAGAGCTCTGGTGGGTGGGAGGTTCCTGTCCTGGTTGAAGGGACAGCAAGACCAGCTACTTACCAAGGTGAAAGGTGTGTTGAGCAGCGTGATCATGATGTCTGACACTGCCAGGTTGACAATGAAGAGGCTGGTGGCCGAGTGCATCCTCTTGTTCTTCAGCACCACGTGGCACACCAGCATGTTCCCAAAGAGAGACATGACGATAATGACCGAGTAGGCCACGATCAGCAGCGCTTTCACTGTTGGCTTCTGGGATTCTGGCTCATATTTCGCCAGCTCAGCAAATTTCTCCCACTCAACAATGCGGCGCTCTGTCCAGTTGAAGATGCTCCTGTTCGTTGCGTGGTAGATGGACATGAGTTTGGCCATGGAAGAGTAATGATCGAACTCCTCAAGAAACCCTGTCACCTGTGACTTGGATGGCTGGAGCAGTGAGCGAGGCATGGTAGGTTGACCCCAGTTTTCCCTGCTAGGGAACAGGACCAGTGGTGTGTCAGAAAGGGGCTGGTTTGGGACCACACACTCTCTCATACAGCAGGAAGAGCAAGAACTTCACAGGTAAGCTCTGGGCTCAAGCAGGCTGCCTGACCATCCCGTGCTGCTGTCGCAGGAACTTCTTCCCAATGCAGAAATGTCACCTTCCGCTCCAAACAAATCCAAAGACGTCTTTCCAGCAACGATCTGAATTCTGAATAGGAACCAACACTTCACTTCCAAATCAGACAGCTCTGTATGTGACACTGCATACATCACAGCATGATTACACCCCAGCCACAAGGAGAAACCAAACTCCTCTCCCTAACTCCTACCCTTATCCCCTCTCACTTACCTGGCACTGCCCGGCCGTGTTTGTTCCCGACCGTGCCCGGTCCCGAGGGGCAGCAGCGGCTCCTCCGGCTCCTGCGCTGGACACCGCGCACCGCACACCCCGCACCGCACACACCGCACACCGCGCACACCCGCCACTCTCAGCACACCCCGCACCGCACACACCCTGCACCGCACACTCCGCACCGCACACTCTGCACTCACCGCCGCACGCCGCGCACCTTCCGCACCGCACCCCTGCACAGCACACACCCCGCGCACCTTGCACACTCCTCTCACCCCGCGCACTCTCCGCGCTGCACCGCGCACACCCCGCGCACCTTCCGCACTGCACCGCACCCCTGCACCGCACCGCACCCCGCACCTTGCACACCCCTCTCACCGCACCCCGCACCTTGCACACCCTGCACCTTGCACACCCTGCACCGCACACACCCCGCACCCCGCGCACTCTCCGCCCCGCACCGCGCCCCCCGCGCACCCCCGGCCCGCCCGCACGTGCCGCCGGCGGGGCCGGAGCCGCCGCTCGGGGCGGGGCTCGGGGCGGAGCTGCTCCATTCATAAATCGGCGCGGGCGGGGCCCGAGAGTCCTTACCGGGGCTCAATCCGTGCCGCCGGTCCCTGCGCGCACCCGCCGGTACCGGTACCGGTCCCTCGGTACCCAGCGGGGCTGCTGCAGGGATGGGGCAGAGGGCAGTGCCCACCACACGGAGCATCCCTTTCCCTGCCGTAAGGGGAAAAGGGGAAAACCACCCTCACAAAGCTCTCCCGGCCCGAATCTTTGCGGAAAGGCTCCTGGTGGAGTTTCAGAGCTTGTTTTTTGAGAAGTGCTTTTCTCACGGCTGGGTCACTCTTGACAGGTGCTGACACAGAAGACAGTTTAGGTTTCAAAGAGTTTAGGCAATATATTTTTAAACGAGATAGTATCATATTTCTCATTTTGCATTCCAAATGTGTCATTAATTCCTTATATAAATACATCTAAAGGTTTTTTTTTTCCTGTCCATTTCCAGTCACCTGCATGATCTCCTTCCTCTGTCTATGTCCATGTTGTGGCCAGGCCATGCAAGGACTAAGGCAGGGCAGTAGCTACAGGATGGGGAACACATGGGGGGGACATGGGACACGGGACACAGAGAATGTGCCTCTTGCCACACTTCAGATTCTGCTTCTGAGTAAAAAGGTCCCATGCTGACACGAGGAGCCAAGAATTCACTTTCATGGTCAGTGTGGGGTTTAACAGCCCAGTGCAGTTCAATAAACACCTACAGTCATCCTGTGTGTTCCAATGATAAGAACACTTACATTTTCCAAATTATCTAATTTTTCCTAATTCCAATTAATAATGCATTTTTAAATGTTGTTCACAAGCCTGATGTCTCTCCTGGTACCTGGCATTTGTAACCTCTATCAGGGCATATAAACCATGATGACAGGTATAATGTTAGATTTTTCCTAGTTTTGGGGGCTATTTGCCGTGGAGCAAACTGGGCATCCCAGCTTGCACTGTGTCAGCCTTAGACTCTTAGAGAGACTAATGAAGATCTTCCTGACAAATAGTAGAAAAAGAGTCCAGATGAAGAGAGGAGGAAAGATTTGTATATTTGGTATTTCCAAGGAACTGGTTCTTTGCTCAGAATTGTGTATTTATGGATCCACAGGTGTAAGAGATGCACCAGTTCCTGACTGTGGCAGAGCTCCAGCTGCCTTCAGCAGAATGAGCTTTGCAGTTGCTCTCTGGAGTTTCTTGCCTGAGGGCTACAGAAAAGACACACTGGATGTTTATTACCACTATAGCAAGATGATCTGGGAGGTTTCTGCTATTTTTCAGTCCCCCTGAAGCCATTCTCACTGTGGCTGTGAGATTCTTGTGCATCCAAAGAGCTGTTTCATTATCCTCCCATGTTGTTCTTGCTGGCAAACCTTGTCACTGGCTTTAGAGCTGCAAGCTCAGTAGAGGAGAGCTGTGAGTTTAGTCTAATAATATTTCCAGCAAAATCCCAGGCATGTTAGCTTTCCCCAGGTGCAAATTATCAAACTATAGTACGTGCTAGAGCCTCCTGAAACACTCAGGCCCTCACTGGCTGAGGAGTTAAGACTTGATCCCTTACAGAGCAATAATCCCAACCAGCCTCTCGTGCCTTGGACCCCTGATGGAGCTGCCAGCCCTGTGTGTTCCATGTCATTAGAGAAGTCTCTGGTTGATGCTCCTCTGGTTCTTATCTTTCAGAAAACACTTCAGGAGCAGGAATAATTGTGTTGTGGAATGAAATTGTTAGAGTTTTCTCCCTGTCCTTCTTGAGCAAAACTCCAGTTACCTGCCGGTCTCTGAGGAGACTGAATGCAGGAGGTATTAAAGGCATTCAGTGCCTTTCATTCTTGTGTCTTACACTTAAATGTCAGAAGGTCCTTTTGTTTTGTTGAGGGCTGGATTCCCTCTGGACAGAAAAATAATAAAAGTGCAGATACACAGGCACCAGAGGCTTTGGAACTGAGGAGCTGCAGAACTCCTCCTTTTGTCCTCAGACATTGATGTCTGTTAGATTTTAGGGCACAGAAAGTGTAGCTGAGCCCCTGAAATATTAATTACCAAGATTTATATTGCATGTGCTACCAATGTGCACAGCTCAGGTGAGAGCTTTGGGACCAGGCACTCCCACCTGAGCCTGGCTCTCTGAGAGCTTCTGGAACCTTCCTCCCATCCGAGCTTTCAGCAGCCTCACGGAGGCTTTCAGGCTCCTCTCACGTGGCATGAACACACCAGATTTCTAAACAATGGACATTGCACATCTAAAACAGAAACTGCAACCAAATAATTTTAAACTCATATTCCAACTTAAATTAAAATTCAGGGGGCAGGAACTGGGAAGTTTAAATAGTCATCCATGATAACCAAAGCTCAATTTCCCCAGTGTCAGAATATGATCTGGCATCAATTGCCACTGACATGGGAGCAGTGCTTCATGTGCATTAGGTCAGGCCAGAGCTGCCTTTATCATGGGCTCTGACTGGCTCTGGGATTCAGCACAGGCTGAGTGGGTGTAGGGGCACCTTGTACAAAATGGGCTTCAAAAGGAGAAATAAGAAAAGAGCAAGAATGTCATAGCAATGGAAATTGATGTCCTGTGAACAGTTACAATTTAGAATTCATTATTCAAAATACAAATGGCAATTACATAATAGCTACTAATAGTGCAGCTTCAGGGTAGTTGGAAAAGAAAAGCTTTATAATAGATTTGATAGTCCTTGAGGTTCAGCTGTAAGGTTTGGGTGACAGAACAAAAGAGAACTACAATTGTATCTATCTATTACAATCTCCTATTGTAACTGTGCCCCCTCCCCACTCTGATGGCCTTTGTCTAGTGGCCCACTGGGGCTGGATCTTCAGACGACTTCTTTTTTGTTTTTCTTCTCCTTGGAAAAATATCATATAGAATGACTGACAGCACACCCAATTCCTGTCTGATTGCTGGCCCCCTGATTTTCAGTGGGATGTGAAACCCTAGCAGGCAGCAGTGGCAGCCAGCTCCTACCTGTGCTGTCCTGCCAGCTCTGAGTGCTCCAGCCTGGCTGTGGCTTGGCCCATCAAACTCTGCCCTTTGCTTTGGTGCAGCCCATCTCTGTGGGAGTTAAACCCATCCATTTCATTGTCCTTTGCTGGGGTGAACTCTCAGCTTCAGAAGCCTCTGAGCCTTGAGCACTCTGTACGGTGTTTTCTTTTTAGGAGGTGGTTCCCCTCCCTTTGTGTGGTAGCCAAGACAGAAAAACAAATAAACAAACAAACAAAACCCAATAAGATCCTGTTTTCCTTAACAGAAAACTCTTTGCTAATGAAAGGGTCTTGACAAAGAGTGGGAGGGGGAAGTCACTCTCTGTGTGTGTTGTGCATGGGGGCTGTTATCAGGAATATTAATTCCTTCATCCCTGCCTGCAGCTCACTCTGCAGGGGCACCAGCCAGAGCTTCTTTGAGGTACAGGAACAGTGAGCAGAGGTACAGGAACAGTGAGCAGAGACACCCCCACATCCAGGTGGGACCGTGTGCCACCCACACTCACACCCCCACTGCACTGAGCTCACAACAACCTTTGCTGAACAGTTCAAAACTCACACAGCTCTCCCAGGGTCTGAGCCCAGCCCCTGTGTGGGCACATTGCTGGTTTGAGGCCAGGGAGCTGCAGCTCTGCAAGCAGGGCTTTGTCAGAGCAGCTTCCCTTCAGAGGTGTCTGGAGTGGAGGCCAGCAGCTGTCAGACACTGCACAGACCCTGCCACAAGCTCAGGAAAGAGCTGGATATGTTTGACAAGGTGAGGAAGGCTCAGGCAGCACCCTCCCCTGTGCTGTACATCCCCTGGCTTTTAAGAAATGCCAGGTCCTGGAATGGCTCATTATCTCTGTCCCCTTCCAAGACCCAATTAATTTAAAGCATTATAGGTTTGCTGGGATGACTCACACACCAAAGGAAGAGAGGAATGAAGACAGGACTTTAAAGTATTGGTACAATATACAATTACTTCAAAACTCTCTTTGTGCAGCTCTGACCAAAGGAAGAGATGTGACCAAGGCTGAAGTTCCTGAGCCAGCAAGGGACAGTGTGCAGAGGCTGATGGCAGCTGCAGCATCCTGCTGAGGGATTCTATGTGGGGACAAATCCAGATATGTTCTATCTGGGGACAAATCACCCACCGGGGCCCTGATTCAGGGGCCTCACTGTGTGGCAAATATCTGTGTGTCAGCACAGAAAGCCCCTGAGCTGTGGAGCTCTGGTGAAAGCTCCCTCCCTCAGCTGGAATGGAGCCCTCATGGATCCCGGGAAGCATCCCCCAGGATCCCTGTGTCGGCCCAGTTTCTGGGTTTGGGAGGAATGGTTCAGCCAGCAGCAGCACTGGTGACAGGAACCTTCCTGTGTCACCCCCTGGGTGCCCCAGCCAGGGCTGCAGCTCTGCCACCCAGCCCAGGGCAGCCAGGACTGAGGAGCAGCTCAGCCAGAGGATGGAGGATGCTGAGGCAGAACAACCACAGGCACCAGCAGCTGATGCTGGAGGGCACTGTGGGCAGGAGCCTCTGCAAAGCTGAGCTGCAGCAGGTCCCAGCAGGCTGCCAAGGTCCCTCC